GATTTTGTGTTTGTGTTTCAGACGAACCGTCAGATCCGCCTGAACGAGCTGCTGCAGGAGCACTCCAACACGGCCAAGCTCATCGTCATGTGAGTCACCTGTCAGATTCACCTGACAGATTCACCTGTCAGCCTCACCTGTCAACATCTACACGATTAAATTAAACTCGTCTCTTCCCTCTCCTCCCTCCGTCTCTGTGTGGTTGTACAGAAGCATGCCTCTGGCCCGTAAAGGCACAGTGTCCAGCGCCCTCTACATGTGCTGGCTGGAAACTCTGTCCAAAGATCTGCCCCCGGTTCTGCTGGTGCGAGGGAACCACCAGAGCGTCCTCACCTTCTACTCCTAACACAGAACCTACAGGAGAACCACCAGAGCGTCCTCACCTTCTACTCCTAACACAGAACCTACAGGAGAACCACCAGAGCGTCCTCACCTTCTACTCCTAACACAGAACCTACAGGAGAACCACCAGAGCGTCCTCACCTTCTACTCCTAACACAGAACCTACAGGAGAACCACCAGAGCGTCCTCACCTTCTACTCCTAACACAGAACCTACAGGAGAACCACCAGAGCGTCCTCACCTTCTACTCCAACACAGAACCTACAGGAGAACCACCACCTCTACTCACCTTCCTCACTTCTACTCCTAACACAGAACCTACAGGAGAACCACCAGAGCGTCCTCACCTTCTACTCCTAACACAGAACCTACAGGAGAACCACCAGAGCGTCCTCACCTTCTACTCCTAACACAGAACCTACAGGAGAACCACCAGAGCGTCCTCACCTTCTACTCCTAACACAGAACCTACAGGAGAACCACCAGAGCGTCCTCACCTTCTACTCAAAACACAAAACCTACAGGAGAAGAACCTCACCAAGAACCTACAGGAGAACCACCACCTTCTACTTGTAACACAGAAGCTACAGAGGAACCTACAGAAGGAGAACCTATGACAGAACCTACAAGAGAACCATCGGAGCGCCCTCACCTTCTACTCAAAACACAAAACCTACAGGAGAAGAACCTAACCAAGAACCTATAAGAGAACCATCACCTTCACCACTCATATCGCAGAACCTACAGAGAAACCTACAGAAGGAGAACCTAACCAAAAACCTTCCACAGATAATACAGAGAAACCTACAGGAGAACCACCACATTCTACTTGTAACACAGAACCTACAGGAGAAGAACCTAACCAAAAACCTACCACAGAACCTACAGAAGAACCACTAGAGCGTCCTAACCTTCTACTCATAGAGCAGAGCCTACAGAGGAACCTACAGAACCTAACCAAGGAACCTAGAAGAGCACCACCACAGAACCACCTTCTACTAGTAACACAGAACCTCCAGGAGAAGAACCTCACCAAGGACCTTCTACAGGAGAAGAATCTGAACTTTCAACTCATCCCAGATCCAAGGTTTTATTTTGAAAGGTGAAAAGTCCTCAAAACGGCGGCGTTGAAGAGCGAAGTGAAACCCGTGAATGTTCCTCTAAAACCTCCTCTAACAAACTTCTGGGTCGTTAAAGTTTCCTTCACGTGTTTCTTTTCATTTTCACGTGATTCTTGTCGAGAAACAGTGAAGCTCCAACAGAAAAAAACTCCATGAACAGTTTGTGAAAGTAAAAACAAACTCAGCGTTACAGGGTTTTTACCATGAAATTATGACACTAAACTATCTTTTTTGTCTAATTAAATGTTTAAGATTTAACATTTTTAACATATTCGCAGACGTTTAGTTCAGACGCAGACGAAGAGCAGAATTTACTTCCAGATTTTTAATAAAAACCGGGACATTAAAAGTTATTTTCAGTTTGTACGTAACATTTTTCTCCACTAAACCCGCTGGGCTTTCTGTGAATTATAATGGATGTATATGTGGGTTTTAGGGCTGGACTTTTAACACAACAACTCACCTTTTTACCTTTTTCAACAGTTACACTTTTTCTCTGTTGGTTTGGCTCATTTCTTGAAACAGAAATCACATTCTTCAAACCCTCTCAGGCTCAAATTAATTTGTAGTAACAGGAAAAATCAGATATTTGGGGAAAATGATCATATGAGGTAGTAATATCCTGACTTTTTTTTTTGAGAGACCTTCACATCCAGCGTGTTCTGGGATGTTTACAGCATTGGTCCGGTGTGGGAAATTAAAGGTCGTATGGAGGATTTTTTGTTGTTGTTTCAAATTGTCATTGAAACTTTAAAATAGCATTAGAGACGCAGCAGCCTTGTAATCATGACCAAAAAATAAATAAAAAAATGAATGAAAATCTATCAACTGTAGACATTGTGAGGCCAGATAAACATCAGCCAATAGAAAACGAGGCTCCCTCTTTATCTATTGGCTGTTAGGTCGTCAGTCAAACTTCCTACGTTTTTAGTGTAACTGACTTGTCGGCGCGCGGGGATTATGTGGTTTATGCAGTGGTTCTTAGAGGTTTTTTCCAAACTGTCGCTTCCTCGCAGTTCGCACAAAGTTTGTTGTGATGTCGGACGAGAATCCACGACCAGTTCGCCGCAAAAGAAAGTTGGTTTTTGAGGTCGTTGAAAGAAGAAGAGAAGAAGGGGAAAAGGAGCGAAGACAAACCGAGGTGATTTTTGGAGATCTCTTCCAGCGATGGTGCGACCGAAGCAGACGAAGGGTCTAAAAACTGACGCGTTGGTTGATAAATTATTTCCTAGGCAGGTCACTTCAACAGTGATTCTGAACGCACACTGACTGTAAACAAACGTGATTTCTAGAGTAAAGAGGCGGGAGGAGGAGATGTTTCTACTGAGGAAGGTGGTGTCACACATGCACATTTGACAAAGGACTATCGCTGTATTTCTCTTTAAAAAATCCTCTATACAACATTTAACACTGAAGACTGAACATGAAATGAACACTAACTATGTGTAAACCACTTTTCATAACAATGAAAATATAAAGCTCAGTGTAACAGCTTCACAGTAGCAGAACAACATCACTTTTTCGTGTGATTCTCCAAGAAACAATTTTTATCCTTTGTAAATAACAAAAGTACTTTGCACTTCTGGCAGGTGGTTTGTGTGGAGTCGTTCTTGCACAGTCTGCATCATCCACGTTTATCAGCATGGATGAGAAAAAAGACTCCTGAGTAAAAAAGGCTCATAATTTTATGAATTTTATGGATGTGGAGTAAGTAGGTCATTGGCATTTAGCTGTTGCAAACCTGCAACGTCTGCCTGGAGAGGGATAAAAGAAAAGATCATTTGACCAAACAGTCTGACAGTTGTGCACAACATTACAGCTCAGATCTCTTCCAAAACTGTTCACACAGGCTTCAAAAACAAAACTCTTTTCCAAAATAAAGAGTCAGGATCAAAAAGAGCATCAAAATGACAAAGATCTTCTCAACTGAAACACAACAGACTCCAGACACTCCAGAGAAGTCAGAAAATGTTGTTATATTATGACGAGTGTGGGCTGATGGGCTCTTTTACCATATATATATTTTATAAGAATAGTAATGAGATTGATGATAATAATAAAAATAATAACTGATAATTACACTAATACAAATAATACTACTAATAAAAAATAAAAATAATACTAACACTAATATTACTAATAAAAAAATAATAACAATAAAAATAATAAAAATTAGGGCTGGGTATCATTAGGAAGTTGCCGATATGATACACACCTCGATACAGTGAGCTTTTGATTCAATATGATATATTTCAAATTGATTCGATACAGTTCAGTAAAAATAAAGTTTAAATCATGTGTGTGATACTAAAAGTTTTTGTTAAATCACGTCTTGTGCAAAGTTAATCTGAAACACAAAAATTTTAATCGTCAAAACTGTGAAAATGTCAAATGTGTCACATAAAAAAGTTTACTTCCTCTGAACAAACAACAAAACTGTGGCTCTGTAACAAAATAATTTAGTAAAATAAACCAAAAAATCATCTTGGAGAAATATCGATACAACAGCCCACCACATCCATACTGTATCATCACATTAAGCGATATGATATATCAATATTTCAATATTTTTGCACACCCCTAATAAAAATGATAACAAAATATTAATAATAATAACATAATTGACTAAAAAAGAATAAATAAATAAACAAATAGAGGCTTTGCACCGTCACGTGACCCCTGTAGTAGGGGGACCAAACGTTTTTCCCCGGACACGTCCGTATTTTGCGTCCTGTCCAGGGCGTCCGGGTTTTTTTTATAAAGTGATGCAAATGTCCAGGTTTTCAGGACCGTTCATTAAACTGAGCGTCTCTCGTAGCGTCTGTGACTCAGAAGAAGCGAGACACAAACAGTGGGTCAGTCTGAAACATGACGAAGCACAAATGCACATTTAACAATGACTTATACAAGAAATTCTCGGTTTTCCGTCCCGGTCGGGACAAGTGTGAGTCCATGTGCACAGGCTGAGGTGAGAGGACAGTGTCCCTCGTTTATCGTGGGAGTTAAATTCTAAAAATAACCTGCGACAGGTGAAATCCACCAAGTATCAACTTTATATTTTACAATTTTTATATCTGTTTTAAGTCTGTAAAACCTCAGCACAAACTTTATACACTTTTCTCCAACAGGATCGACAGGTGCAACACTTTTTACTTTCCTTCTTAAAACTTGTTTCTGCTGTCGTCCTTTTGTTATTTTCCTCCTTCTTTATGTAACAAACTGAAGATTCATTTATTCCATAATGGAGCCGACAGCACAGAGTCCTGCACGGGTCAGTTTTGGAGACCCGCAGTACAGGACCGCACCTGCCAGTACAGGACCACACCTGCACAGTACAGGACCACACCTGCACAGTACAGGACCGCACCTGCACAGTACAGGACCGCACCTGCCCGTTAACCCGAGATTATATCAAACTTTTGCGCTGCCTACGCCCCGGACTGAACCAAGACTAAACCAGGACTGATTCCAGGACTGAAGAAGAGGACTAATCCACGACTGAACTAGGACTAAACCAGGACTAAACCAGAACTGAACCAGGACTCAGTGTGGGGTCGGGCTCGGAGGTGACCACAGGAGAAAGGAGCGGCTCAGCTCCGCACCTCACGGAGGTAAACGCGACAATTACCCGATCGCGCTTTAAGGACAAACTGCTCGGCGTTTTCTCTGTTAAGTCCAAGATTAGTCCTGTTTTAGACCTGGTTTAGACCTGGTTTAGTCCTGACCCACACGTGTGTCATTACTACCCGCCTGTAATACACAACACACGTGTCCAAGGTGTCCGGGTTTTCACAAACGGAAATATGGTCACCCTACCCCATAGCAACAGTACCTACGCCGCATGACACCAGACACACTATGTGACTGACTTCAGCAGCGTCGGAGAAACATGGGCAGGTTTTGTTGTGTATTTGTTGTTCTAGAAGCTCTGAAAGGATAAAACGATTTGTTTCTTCACTGTTCCTCTGGAAATGACTCATCAGGATCAAACAAGGGAATTACTGAAAAAAAAAAAATGCAGATTATAGCAGCAAAAGACAGAGAGTCATTCACCGTTACAGTCTGGACTCGCTCTGATGGTCTCTGCGTCTCCTCTTTTATTGTCTTAGGAGGGTCCCTAGTTACACTGGGTGTGTCGCTCTCAGGGAGACGGGCTGAAAACAGCACAAACACCAGACATACAAATATGACAAATATGTTTTATCAACAGCAGGTGCAGATGTTTGGTTCAACTTTCAGACACAGTTCCCTCCGTGCAGCCTTGAAAGTCGTCGGCTCTCAGGCTCCGAGAGCCGAATCTCCGTTGCTCACACGTGAGGGGAGAGTTACTGCAGACAGTTTCCAAGCACAAAAGATGATTCAAATTCACAAAGAACGGAACAGAGCAAATATAGCAAATATGGGATCAATATCTACAATTATTCTAACACAAACCAATGGAGAAAAACTGTAATACGAAATAAATGAATCTTAAAAATGGTCATTTAAATTAATCAGTTATTTTTGTCATTTCTGTTTAATTCTATTTAATAATTTGAATTTGAATCCACGTGTTTTTTCCATTTCTAACATATTTATTTAGGACAGGAATTGTATATTTTACTGTTTCAGAAATAAAGACGTGTCATTATTCTGTGTCAGTTTGTCTCACAGTTTGATTATTTTATTTTTGTTTGTTTATTTCATTCATAAAATATAAAAAGACATTAACAAACACACAAGAAATGAATGAAAAGGAGCAGAAAGAAGAATCGTACTTTAAAACATTTCATCAGTACGTTTCATTTCAGTCACAAATATTAATCAGTTGCAAACAAAAAGCATCACTTTTATGGGCAACAACTTAGTTTTACTTTCATACTCACACATTGCACTGGATTTTATGTTTTTTATTTGTTTTTTAATGTCGTTATTGTGCTTGATTCTTTTACATCTTTGTCGAGACTTTTCCATAAATGAACTTTTTTCACAGCGACACTTCGGCCCAGAACTTCGACTCTGAATCTAAATTAATTTCAGTTCCTTATTATTATTATTTTTAAATTTTTATGTATTTATTTTGGGCAAGTAAAGATTTAAATTCTTACACAATGGAACATATAACATCAGTGAAATCATAATGTATTTAATCCCACCCCCACTCTTCTAATTGAACACAGTTTTCTTTCGTGTTTTTCGGACATTTTGAATTAAACTAATGAACTATTTACAAGACAAAGAGTCACTGTTAGAGTTTGGTCATTTCAAAAGAAACAGAAAACACACACCAAAATTCTTGTAGAGGCGCAAATGCAAAAGGAGCAGCCAGACCAGAGTGAAAAACTGCACAGTGCAGTCAGACGGCCGATGTCCAAACGTTTTTTTAATTTTCAAAATAACGTTTCGGCAAAAATAAGTCTTCATCAGATATTTTTCTTGCTTTGGACCAAAGCCAGTGTTGGGAAGTTTACTTTTAAAACATATTCCCCTACAGATTACAGATTACATACACCAAAATGTAGTTTGTAACATAATCCATTAAATTACTTAAAGTGAGTAATGTAATCTGATTACTTTGGATTACTTGATTTGCTGTAGAGAAACAAAGACGAGGAAATCGTAACATAAGAAGTTTTATCTGATAAAAGAAAATAAAAAGCCCAGACTTGACTGAACCAAATTAAAAATATTATTGATAGAAAACGAGGAAACAGGGTCCACGCTGCAGGATTTAGTCCTGGTTTAGACCTGGTTTAGTCCTGGTTTAGACCTGGTTTAGACCTGGTTTAGTCCTGGTTTAGACCTGGTTTAGACCAAAATGTGAAAACAGGAAAATCTCTCTGTTTAATCCATTTATTTTAACAAAGTAACTGTAATCCAATTACCACTCACTGAAACAGTAACTGTAACTGAATACAGTTACTCATCATTTGTACTCTGATTACTCTGGTACATGTAATCTGTTACTCCCCGACACTGACCACAGCACACAAAATGGTCGCCCGCCCAGGTGTCCACATCCCCTCCAACGAACGGGACGTCCCAAAGTGAGTTCAGCCGCTCAACGACAAGATATTTACATCAAAAACATTTGATAAAATACAGAAATAGTTTAAGTTTATCACAAAAAACATCTTGGATCAAACTCCACATTGAGTTCGTGAGGAGGGAGATTCTTCAGTTGGTGAATCCACAAGTGTTTTCTTTTTGACAGGAGCATTTCTAGATTCTCACCTCTAGGGGGCAGCTCCACGTGTTCAATGCCAAAGTATTTTAAAGAAGAAACAGGATGGTTCAAATCAACAACATGAGTAGTTTGGTCGTTTTAACATAATCAGACCAACACTGGTAGAGTTAAAGTTAACACAGACAATGGTAAGAAACAACAGACACGTGACGTAACAAACGACACAAACCAACAACAGTAAGAAAACAACAAACATAAAGCAGCTCCACACAATGAAATATTGTTCTATAAACTGACTAAACTAACCAGACCAGATCTTTAAAGAACAGTTTAATTTATGGACATGTTGTTTGTGTATCCAGAGTTTTACACCACAGACACACAAACTTTTACGAGTGGTTCAAACATTAGGCAATTTGAAATTATAAATTCTCTCTCTCATTTTGAACAAACTTTGAAAATGATGTGGTTGTAAATTGCTGAATGCTCTGAATAAAATGACCAGTGTGTAATATTTTACGAGATCAGGAATCAGTGATCAAGTCCTTCATCGTCATCGTCAAATAAAATAACAACAGAATTACAGTTAGAGCCTCAGACAAACTGCAGAGTGTTTTAAAAGTGCAGAAAAGTGTAGAGCGCCACCTGATGACATCACCACGTGAACATAACACCCACAGTGTGAACATTAAAATACAGAACTAGAAATAATCTCAGAGCAGGAGAAAAGACGCAGATCAACATCACAACAAAACAACCAAAAGAACTGGGACACCAGCGACACGTGTGTTTAAATGTGTTTAAATGTGTTTAAATGTGTTTAAATGTGTTTAAATGTGTTTAAATGTGTCGTGGGCCAAACTAAATATTTATTTTTTAAAAATTGACATCATCTTCATGTTTTCTGTTCTTTGTAGATCTGTAATGTTAAACCTTTTCTTATTAAAATAAATGTTTAATAATCGTTTTGCTTAAACACTGAATCCAGAACAAGCAGAATATAAAATAATAATAACATTTTAAATAAATAATGTCTCTATAGTTGATCTGTTTTTATTTTTGTTTTTATTATGTTGGTTTTCTCTGTGAGCTGTATTTAGGAGATTTAATATTCGTACTTTTATTTTTTTTTTTATCTTTTAGATCGACGTGATTTATTTTGTTTTTCCGGTGACGTCACTGGACCGCGCCGCGTTTCCTCCGCGTCGCGGGCGTAGTGACGTCAGCGGATTTTGTAAACAAACTTGAGCCGGAAAAAGTCCAAGGTGAGAATCTAAACCCCGAACTCTAAACTCTAAAAAACAAACTATAACCTATAAACTGTAAACTACAAACTCTAAACTTTAAACAGTTAAACAGAAATGTTTAGAGTCTGGATTTAAACAGCGTCACAGAAGAGTCTGTCTCACATGTTCAGACTGTTCCAGGTTTTAGCTGCATGAACCTGAAACTCTGACTCCCCTTGTTTAGTCGTGACTCTGGCACCAGCAGGAGTTGGTCCCTGAGCTCCTCAGAGTGTGAGATGTGAGATGTTCATATGCAGTGTTGGGGAGTAACGTAATCAGAGTACAAATGATGAGTAACTGTATTCAGTTACTGTTTCAGTGAGTGGTAATTGGATTACAGTTACTTTGTTGAAATAAATGGATTACACAGATGGATTTTCCTGTTTTTACATTTGGGGCTATATCCCCCCCCCCCCTTTTTTTTTTTTTTTTTTTTTTTTTTGTTGTTAAAATTCCACTCATTGCCGGACACTAAACCAGGTCTAAACCAGGACTAAACCAGGTCTAAACCAGGACTAAACTAGGACTAAAGCAGGACTAAAGCAGGATTGAACAGGACTAAATCCTGCTGTGTGGACGTGTTTCCTCATTTTCTATCAATAATATTTTTAATTTGGTTCAGTAAAGTTTGGGTTTTTCATTTTCTTTTAGCAGATAAAACGTCTTATGTTATGATTTCCTCGTCTTTGTTTCTCTACAGCAAATCAAATAATCCAAAGTAATCAGATTACATTACCTTAAAGTAATTTAATGGATTACGTTACAAACTACATTCTGGGATATGTAATCTGTAATCTGTAGGGGATTATGTTTTAAAAGTAAACTTCCCAACACTGTTCATATGACACTAACATGTCACAGATGGACTTTGGTGCTCGACCCTGGAGACACTTGTACAAACAGAGACACTTTAAAGTCTCTGAGCCACAGGAGCCAGAGCAGAGACCTGAGACCAGGACACGTGCTCGTACTTCCTAGTCCGAGTCAGGACCCGAGCTGCAGCGTTCTGGATGTTCTGGATGTTCTGGATGTTCTGGATGTTGTGGATGTTCTGGATGTTGTGGATGTTCTGGATGTTCTGGATGTTCTGGATGTTCTGGATGTTCTGGATGTTCTGGATGCTGTCTCACAGCTCGTTTGGAGAGACCAGTGAGCAGAACATTACAGTATCTAACCTACTGGAGACAAACGCATGGATAAGTTTCTCCAAGTCTGATTTAGACAGTAAACCTTTGATTTTTGCTATGTTTTTTAGATGGTAAAAGGCTGCAGATGTTCTTGATTTGATGTGGCTGTTAAAGTTCAAGTCTGAGTTCATTATTAGTTCCCTGAGCGTCTCCCTGTCATCTCGCAGTGACCCTTGACCCCTGACCCTGATGTCTGAGTCTCGGGCGGCGCAGGAGGATCTGGTGTGGAGGTTTGTGGACGCGGCGTCTCGTGGGGACGCGGCTCTGGTCTCGTCACTTTTGTCCAACTCCCCGTCTCTGCTGAACCGGACCGGACCCGACGGATGGACTGCGCTGATGCACGCCGCCCGCAACGGAGACCACGGCCTGGCGAGGGCGCTGCTGCTCCGAGGGTCAGTCCGGACCTGAACCAGGACCTGAACCGGACCTGAACCGGACCTGAACCAGACCTGAGCCAGACCTGAGCCAGACCTGAACCAGAGCTGGACCTGAAGGACCCGGGTCAGGACCCTCCAGACCTGAACCACAAGTCAAACGTGTCTCAAAAAGTAACACCTGAGAAAATATTTAGCCTCCTGAGTCCCACCAGATCTAAACCAGGACTGTTTCAGGTCTAAACCAGGACTGTTTCAGGTCTAAACCAGGACTGTTTCAGGTCTAAACCAGGACTGTTCCTCTTGTGTTCAGGATTCTGACATGAAAATCTAAAGTTGAACTGTTCAAACTGTTTTTCTGATTCTGTCTCGAACTTTCAGTGTCAAAAATCTGTGTTTCTCTCGTCGTCTTCGTCCACAGATGTGATCGTTCTCCTGTCAACAGATCGTCTCAAACGGCCTTCGACATCGCCAAGTTCTGGGGCCACACCCACATCTGCCGACTGCTGCTGCGTCCGGACCCTGGTCTAGATCCTGGTCCTGGTCTGGTCTCTGGTCCTGATTCTGGTCCTGGTCCAGTCTCAGACCTGGACTTGAGGACCGTTGTGTCTCCGGAACAGAGTCGTCATGAGATGTTCTTCAGCGCGGAACCTCTGGACCGACTCAGCGCCAAAAGACCGGACCAGGACTGGATCAGGACCAAACAGAGAGACCCCAGGACGGTCTACCTGCTGTTCCACAGACTGAGCCCCCTGAGCCGCGGGGGGCCGAGGGCGGGGCCGACCCGGTGAGTGCTCCGGGTCAGAACCTGAAGAATGTGAAGAACATTTATAAAAATAATCCTGCTGCTCTGGTTTCTGCCTCAGGTCGGACTTTGCCGCTTCAGGTTCGAGGAGGTGCAGGACCTGCTGGAGCGCCCGGGGTCAGAGGTCGTGTTCCTGGGCGTGGACCGGACCCGTGACCCCGCTGACCCCGCTGACCCCGCTGAGCCCCGCGCCTGGTTCGCTCTGGGGTCAGATCTGGACCAGGACCAACTCCTGAAACGAACCAACGACAAAAACTGTTTCTTCCCCAAAAACCCTCACAGAGACCTGCTCCAGCTCCGAGAGGACGAGGCCGGTGAGTCCTGGTCTAGTCCTGGTCTAGTTCTGGTCTAGACCTGCTTTAGTCCTGGTTTAGTCCTGGTTTAGTCCTGGTTTAGTCCTGGTTTAGTCCTGGTTTAGTCCTGGTTTAGTCCTGGTTTAAGTCCTGCCTGGTTTAGACCTGGTTTAGTCCTGGTTTAGTCCTGGTTTAGTCCTGGTTTAGGTTTAGTCCTGGTTTAGTCCTGGTTTAGACCTGGTTTAGTCCTGGTTTAGACCTGGTTTAGTCCTGGTTTAGTCCTGGTTTAGACCTGGTTTAAGTCTCGTGCCTCAGTCTGGTTCTAGTCCTGGTCTTGGTCTCGGGCAGGTCTCGTGGCTCAGTCTGGTTCTGGTCTTGGTCTTGGTCTCGGGCAGGTCTCGTGGCTCAGTCTGTCTCAGTCTGGTTCTGGTCTTGGTCTCGGGTCTCAGTCTGGTCTCGTGGCTCAGTCTGGTTCTAGTCCTGGTCTTGGTCTCGTGTCTCAGGTCTGGTCTTGGTCTCGGGTCTGGTCTGGTCTGGTCTGGTCTCTCGTTCAGGTCTCGTCGTGGTCTCAGTCTGGTTCTCTGGTCTTGGTCTTGGTCTCGTTCAGGTCTCGTGGCTCAGTCTGGTTCTGGTCTTGGTCTCGTTCAGGTCTCGTGGCTCAGTCTGGTTCTAGTCCTGGTCTTGGTCTCGTTCAGGTCTCGTGGCTCAGTCTGGTCCTGGTCTTGGTCTCGTTCAGGTCTCGTGGCTCAGTCTGGTTCTAGGTCTCGGTCTCAGGGTCTGGTGTCTCAGGTCTCGTGGCTCAGTCTGGTTCTGGTCTTGGTCTCGGGCAGGTCTCGTGGCTCAGTCTGGTTCTAGTTCTGGTCTTGGTCTCGTTCAGGTCTCGTGGCTCAGTCTGGTTCTGGTCTTGGTCTCGTTCAGGTCTCGTGGCTCAGTCTGGTTCTAGTCCTGGTCTTGGTCTCGTTCAGGTCTCGTGGCTCAGTCTGGTTCTGGTCTTGGTCTTGGTCTCGTTCAGGTCTCGTGGCTCAGTCTGGTCTCAGTCTCGTGGCTCAGTCTGGTGGTCTTGGTCTCGTTCAGGTCTCGTGGCTCAGTCTGGTCCTGGTCTTGGTCTCGTTCAGGGTCTGGTCGTGGCTCAGTCTGGGTCTCTGTCCTGGTCTCTTGGTCTCGTTCAGTCTCGTCTCGGTCTCTGGCTCAGTCTGGTTCTAGTCCTGGTCTTGGTTTGGTCTCGTTCAGGTTCTCGTGGCTCAGTCTGGTTCTGGTCTTGGTCTCGTTCAGGTCTCGTGGCTCAGTCTGGTTCTAGTCCTGGTCTTGGTCTCGTTCAGGTCTCGTGGCTCAGTCTGGTTCTGGTCTTGGTCTCGTCAGGTCTCGTGGTCTCGTCAGTCTGGTTCTCTAGTCCTGGTCTTGGTCTCGTTCAGGTCTCGTGGCTCAGTCTGGTTCTGGTCTTGGTCTCGTTCAGGTCTCGTGGCTCAGTCTGGTTCTAGTCCTGGTCTTGGTCTCGTTCAGGTCTCGTGGCTCAGTCTGGTTCTGGTCTTGGTCTCGTTCAGGTCTCGTGGCTCAGTCTAGGTCTGGTCCTGGTCTTGGTCTCAGGTCTCAGGTCTCGTGGCTCAGTCTGGTCCTGGTCTTGGTCTCGTGGTCTCGTGGTCTCAGGTCTCGTGGCTCAGTCTGGTTCTAGTCCTGGTCTTGGTCTCGTTCAGGTCTCGTGGCTCAGTCTGGTTCTAGTCCTGGTCTTGGTCTCGTTCAGGTCTCGTGGCTCAGTCTGGTTCTAGTCCTGGTCTTGGTCTCGTTCAGGTCTCGTGGCTCAGTCGCGGTCCGTGTTGGCGTGGCACACTCGTTACAGTTTCTGTTCGACGTGTGGGGGGCGGAGTCGAGTGGAGGAGGCGGGGCATAAGAGGAGCTGCCAGAACCCGACCTGCATCAGCCACCAGGGCGTCCACAACACCTGCTACCCCCGAGTCGGTGAGTACTGCAAGTACTACAAGTACTACAAGTACTACTAATACTACATATACTACAGATAGTACGGATGCTACTGATACGACTATCCGGGTCCTTATACAAATTAATACGAAGACCCTGGGGCCCTGGACAACAGACCATTTAGTCCTACTTTAGTCCTACTTTAGTCCTGCTTTAGTCCTGGTCCAGTCCTGGTCGTGCTCTCCTCTCCACAGACCCGGTGGTGATCATGTTGGTGCTTCATCCGGACCAGAGTCAGTGTCTCCTGGGCAGAAAGAAAGTGTTTCCCCCCAGAATGTTCTCCTGCCTCGCCGGATTCATCGAACCCGGTACGACACACCAGACCCGGTCCAGACCCGGTCCAGACCCGGTCCAGACCCGGTCCAGACCCGGTCCAGACCCGGTCTAACTCTGGTCTGTGGTTTCAGGGGAGTGTGTGGAAGCGGCCGTGCGGAGGGAAGTCCAGGAGGAGTCTGGGGTCTTGGTGGATCCGGTTTGGTGAGTCTGGTCTCAGTCCTGGTTCAGTCCTGGTCCTAGTCCTGGTCCTGGTCCGGTCTTGGTTTAGTCCTGGTCTGGTTTCAGGTACGTCTGCTCGCAGCCGTGGCCGATGCCGTCGAGTCTGATGATCGGCTGTTTGACCGTCGCCGTGACGACAGAGATCAACGTGGACCAGGACGAGATCGAGGAGGCCAAATGGTTCTCAAGACAAGAGGTCAGGACCTGGTTTAGTTCTGGTTCAGTCCCGGTCTAGTCCTGGTTTAGTTCTGGTTCAGTCCCGGTTTAGTCCTGGTCTAGTCCCGCTTTAGTCCCGGTTCAGTCCTGGTTCAGTTCTTTCTCGTTCAGGTGATTGATGCTCTGGTTGGTGGATCTCGAGCTTCGTTCGTGGTTCCTCCGAGACAAACCATCGCTCACCAACTGCTCCGGCACTGGACCGGCCTCACCTCCAACCTCTGACCTCTGACCTCTGACCTCCAACCTGTGAGACCTGCCAGACCTCGACCACGACACGGGACGTCGCCGCCACAGCAGCTCCTCCCTCTGACCTCCGCCCGTCCGCCTCACAGCGCTCAGCTCCAAATGAAGCTCATCGAGGCCGGCGGCGAATCTGCGACAGGGACCAGATTTGTATCATAGCAACCAAAGAGCCAATCAGGAGCGAGGCTGTTGAAGGTAACGCCCCCTCCCGCCCACACCGCTGTCAATCAAACCTGCTTCTCGTCTCTGTTCACGTTTACGTCACAAACACAAAAACGTCTGGAAACACGTGATGAAACTTTCTTTGGTTCTTTTCCTGTTCGCCGTCTTAAATCTGACAAAAGACATGACGCTGATGTGTGTGCGGCGTCCGGGGGCGGGACATAAATAAAACCGGTTTAAACAAAACCATGTTTAGAAGAACGTGAGATGAACAAATATTATTTAAGAACCAAACACAGAGATGATATTTGTTTTTGATGTTGAATCTGTGACCGT